TGTTGTTTGCTGGTGTTCCATCTGGCTCAGGTTGCTCAGTGTCTCCCAAGGTTTGAGTAAAGGTCAGCAGCTCGTCCAGGCACAGTCACTAATGGCTTTCATGTGTTTGCAGTTGTGCTTGCTGCAGGCAGGGAGATCCTTCAAAGTTCATCCCCCTTTTATCTTTGGCTTTCAACCAATACAAGGCTGGCACAATTGTTTTATTGGAATGGTCAGATAAAACTACACCTAATCCTACCCTGAAGGGGCATTGTTGCAATATTAGTACATGAAAGGCACTGCAGTTAGTCTGCTGAAATATGGGGACAATATGGAATTTTAGTGATTTTGAACACTTCAGAAGCCAACATTCTTCAATTTTCCTCTGAAGAGCTTTGGTTTCTGAACCCAGTGCCTTTTCTTGCACACTATAAGTCAGGAGGCTGCTGGCTAGTGGGGTTTGCTTCTCACTGTCTGAATGAGAGAAATGTGCAGGAACTTTGTGAGACAGTTAAAAAACCAAACAGATTTGTTTTAGTTTAAATATGAGATTTATTTTTACTTATGTTTGCTTAAATGTGAGGTTAAAGACATAGATTTGAACATGTAGTGTTCAGCAGCGTTCTTGTTTTTACAGTGGTGTATTTGTGGCAGCCACAGACTTGTTTGGCACACAGCTTTCTCTTTGCTTTCTCCTTTCAATTGTCTGTAGATGTCAGGAGAGTGGCAGTGAGGTCCAAAGCCACCTGCAGCAGCAGAGCTCTTCCCATGGACAGAGGAGACTTTGAATTCAGTGCTGACACCAGGAGAGGTGGTCCCTGGCCTTCCCAAGCTCATGAAGCTGCAGCAAAATATGACCACTTTTGTATTCAGCCCTGAGAATTCCACACATGGAAAGACAGAGTAAACCCATATGCCTCTGTTTTCTTTAGTTAGGTAGCTGTCCTTGGAGAAAATGTGTTCTCGTAGAAGAGTGGAAATTACTCCCTTTTTTAGTGGAAATAACCATCAAAGACACAGATATTCAGTAACCTCTGTAATGTCTGTCAGGCTCCTGGGCTTTCACTGAAGAAAACAAGGTATTAAACACAAAAAATGTATTGCTTTTCATTTAAGTCAAAGTATCTGTGAATATAAATTTGGACTTTTTAGCCAACTTTTTCCTCTAGTAAATATTTTATAAATCTGCATTTGTAGTCATTTGGGTTTTGTTCTATTAATTTAAAATCTGTGAAGAGCATCTGGTACTCCGTGCCCACAGTATCATCTCAGCCCCATTTGGTGAACATTTCTACTGGCTTAAGGACATCTTTAAAGCTGACAGGCAGCATTTAGGACAAAACTTGTAATTGGATTTGTAATCCAGAGGATCCCTCTCTCTGTGGCTTCCTGCTGCTCTGTCAAACAGGAGCTAAAGGAGGAAAAAAATCACATTCACCTTCTCTGCTGTGCTGTAAAGGGATGTCCTGCTCAAGCTGCTGCCTGGCAGAAGGGTGCCCAGGGCAGGGACCTGGTTTGTGGCTCACTGGCTGGTAGTGGCTGGTTGTGTCGTCTTGCTGGTGCAAATCCAGCTGTGCCAGACACTGCTCAGACTTCAAACAACAGGACCAAGTTTGCTCTGAAGAGCACTGTGATGTGCAGCCCTTCAACCTTGCAAGTTTTTGGAGCAGCACTGCCTCTTTTGGGGAATTTGCTGCCACCTGAGTTAGAAAGGGTTATTTGACACAATTGGCAAATGCCTCTGAGGCTGAAGACTGCAGCTCACCACATCAGCCTGTTGTTTGTTGATGAAGAGTGTGTCAGGGACAAGCTCAGGGAACGCTCTGCACTGGGGCTCAGAGAGCAGCACTGACAAAGGGCTGCGGACAGCAGTAGCTTCAGAGCCTCTTGCCTGATTTGACACTCACCCTCCTTGCACTGCTGTGGGGAGTTTGGTATTCTCTGTCCACCTCAGTTTTTAAATTATGGACAGTTAAATCTGCATTGTTAGTGCTGTGGATTGCTTGAGTCAAGTGGAGCTGGATGCCTTTTCTTGTTCAAACAGCAGAACTCAAGTCAGGCAGGCATCCCTGTTCATCCACGTCCAGGAGCCTTGCGATGCTCAGGGGTGATCAAGGCACCCTTGCTGAAATGAGGGCCAGGCTGTGAGCTGTGTCTGCAAGCAGGTATTAGTGCATTTGGGATGGTGGCAGCAGTGATTTTGCAGTAATCCCCCACGAAGGAAGCCCCTCTGAGGTGTCTGAGACCTTTCACACTTCTCACTGTGAGTCAGTCCCTGTTGCCCAAGGTGTGTAGAGAATTAGTTCCCTTTCAGACTCAATTGTGCAGTGGATTGGTGATAAATCATATATTAAAGAATGAGTTTCAAAGGAGAGGTGTGAGGTGAAGGAAGGCATTAGAGATGAGGGAAGTGCTGCCCCCTGAGCAGTGCTGAATCCAGCTCACAGCTGAATCAAAGCATGTGGCCAGCTCATCTGAGGGCATCTTTCGTCCTACTGCTCTTAATGATGGGATTTTCCCAGTCTGAAGAAAGTGCAAATAAAGATTTATTTATGTTCTCTTTCTTCTGTGCATTCTCAGTTTGAAATCTCACTTTCTTATGTGAGAGGTGAGAGACACTTTTCCATTTTTCCACTTTTCCAGCAGCTACCCCCTCATTCCCTGTCATTAATTCTGAGCTATCTCATGGTCATGCAGAGTTTTAGGCTGCCATCAGTGCTCTTGATTTGTTTATCCATCATATCCCAGAACTAGGTTATTCTTCCCAAATGTACCTTATGTGTGCCACATAAATGTCAGTTTATGTGTGAAGACATCCCAAAACCTCATCTCATTTGGCTAAAGCAATAACACCATCTTAAATGATGACTACTTCATGAATGAACTTTCATTCATTTTGGAGTTTCATTTCAAAGGGTAGGTGTTTTTTAGAGGGCATTAAAGCATAAAATTATACAGTGTAATGCTGTAATGCCATTGACCTAATTCAGATTCCTTCTTTGTGTAGAGAGTGCTCAGTCTAACTTCCACCATTTCCCAAATGTCTGTGTTTTGATGGAGCCAAGGCATTAGGATGATGTCTTTAATGATGGGTTTATGAGGTGAAGGTTATTGCAGTGGCAGGAATTGGCACAAGCAAGATAACAGGTAACATATCAGAAAGGAGGCAGCTGCCTTGCCAAAGGTGAACTGATGAGCATTGCCATGTAGAGGGAAGGAAGAGCAAATCCTGGAACTAGTACTTGAGCTAAGAAAACACATGCCACAGTCACAGAAGGCATTTATAATCCTTAATTTTCAGAAGAAATTCCATCACTTGATTACTGCCAAATGGTAATTTTCTGGTAATGACAAATTGCAGATGATTTCCCCAGAATCCTGAAAAACACTTAGCTGGAGTGTTAAAAATGCCCTGGTTAATCTCTTTGGCATGTAATTCTTCCTGCTAAGAAATTCAGAGTCCCACAGGATTAGTTTTATGAACGTGTGATGTTCACAGCAACTCCAAAAAAGCAATTCAGGCACAACAGTGGCCTCAGTGTTGGTTTTTTCTTGGGTGGAAGAGCTCAAGGAGGCCATGGCCAGCCACAGACACACAGACCACTGAGGAGTGGTGCTCCATGGCAGCCAGGTGCCCAGAGGGAAGTACAGAATTGATTCTGTTGCTCTCTAGCTGCTCAGATGTGCAGGGTTTCTTTTGTTTCTTTAAAAGGGCAAAAAAGAACTTAAGGAGAAATGAAGATAATCAAAGGCATAGAATGAGTTCGGCATGAGGAGAGAGAGTGAATAGAATAGCATTCTTCAGCTCCAAAAGAGATGTCAGACAGGAGAGATGATAACAGGTCTATAAAATCATTAAGAAGATGGAAAATGTGACCAGATAGTGATTATTCACTGCTTCTCACAGTAGACGTATTGAGGGAGGTTAAAGGAAATTATCAGGCAGCAAATTTAAATGAGCAAGGAACACTTGGTTCAGATGAAAAACAGAGAGTTTGAGGAGCTGAATGCCACTGAGTATTGTGGATTTAGAAATGAGATGAAGGATTCATAAGATTTGTCATGAAGATAAATCTCTCAAAGGTTATTTTAAAAATGAGATCTGGATGCAAATTCTTGCTTGGGAATTTTCTGAGGTATAATGCTTACAGCTGCCCCATTTTGTACCATGGTCCTAAACTTCTGGTACTTGCCAAAGACATAAGACAGGACTAGATGAACCCATGATGCTTTAACTAGATCTGGCCCATCACTGGCCCTGTGTATTTTCCCATGCACACAGGTTGTGGCATTCCAAAATATGTTGTTGCATCTGGAAGGTTTTGGGTCTGTCCTGATGTGGAACTGAGCTTCACAGATCAAGGGATAAAGTTTGGATCTCAGTACATATGAAAAATATTTGAGTGATGTCTTGCAGAGACCACTTTCTGTTTGCACTGAGATTGTCTGCAATGGCCCTGAGATCCAGAACTTTGCTTTCATGTGTCTGTGATGCCGTGGCAAAAGTGGCTATTTTTCTGTCAGGATTGTTTAAATTACTGTAAGAATCTTGCTTTTGAGTTCTTCATAGCTGTAGTGCTTTCATATTTTAAAATTTTTTCTCTTTAAAATTTGCTCCTTTCTACCCTATGACAGCGATTTCAAACTACCCCCCTCAAACTGGTGGGTATGGAGTGGTCAGCTGGAACACAGCAGAGTGGTGACTGCCTTTTCTACACACGCAAATTCCAATTAATGAAATTCCAGTTAATGCTAGAAAAGTAGGAGTTAGGCTGCATTCACTGAGTCAGCTGTGGAACGCAGCAAAGCTGCTGCTGTTCCTGGAGGAGGGCATCCTACTCTGGAGGTGTGCTCCCAGGAGTGTTGTTGGATGTTTTCCCTTTCACCTGGAAGCAGTAACTTCTCTTCCAAGCAGCTTTAGGCAGTGGGCTGAATGCGTGCAGGACCTGCATTTTCTCTGCTGCCTCTTTGGAGCCCTGTCTCCAAAGGTAACAATCTCCTTTTTGGTTTCATTTTCCTAGGGATATCTATGCCTATTCCGGTCATTGGTTTGCAGGATGACTCCCGGGTGTTTGTAAACGGGACCTGCGTCCTTAACGACGAGAACTTCGTCCTCATTGGATCCTTCATGGCTTTCTTCATCCCTCTCATCATCATGGTGATCACGTACTGCCTGACTGTCCAGGTGCTGCAGAGACAGGCCACGGTGTTCATGTGTGGAGAAGTGCCCAAGCAGAGGAGGAGCAGCGTGAACTGCCTCAAGAAGGAAAACAACACAGAGAACATTTCAATGCTTCACAATCACGAGGGGGCCTCCCACTTGAACTCACCTGTAAATAAGGAGGCGGTGCTTTTCCGGAAAGGAACGATGCAGTCCATCAACAACGAGCGAAGAGCCTCCAAGGTCCTGGGCATCGTCTTCTTTTTGTTCCTCATCATGTGGTGCCCGTTTTTCATCACTAATGTCATGTCTGTCCTTTGCAAGGAAGCCTGTGATAAAGACCTGTTGAGTGAGCTCCTGGACGTGTTTGTTTGGGTGGGGTACGTGTGCTCCGGGGTCAATCCCCTGGTGTACACCCTCTTCAACAAAACCTACCGCAGGGCTTTCTCCAATTACATCCGCTGCCAATACAGGCCTGGGAAAAAATCAGCACTGCGGCAGAACCAGTGTCTGAACGTGGCTTCAACAGCTTTGTATGGGAAAGACCTGACTTTAACCAGTTATCGAAATGGCAATGAGTTCAATAGCATGGAACTAGATGAAGCTGAGGAGGGCCTTGAGATGCAACCAGGGACTTCAGAGCTCTCCATAAACAGCTGTAATGTTGTAAGTGAACGAGTGAGCTGTGTGTAAAAGTGACTCATAGACCTTTGCTACAGTGCATCTGTAGCCAAAATATATTGTGTAAAAATGTAAGTGTCAGTCAAAGGACTGTGTAAATATTGCATTCTGAACAAAGCTTTTGGTTTTTTTTAAAGAGAAAAAAGAGTTGTCTTTCCAGTCCAGTACTTAAAATAATATATATTAATATACTGCAGTGAAGTTTAAGGTTCTATATTTACTGTTAATACTAGATCAGAACTATTAGTTACTTTGCATATGTCATGGACAAAATGTTTGAATTCTTCTTCCAGTGCATGAACAAAAATGCTGAATATTTATCTCAGGTGGAATTTGCTGGAGTCCAGAATGGCACGTTAATAGTTATATATCAAATACATGCTATTAGACTTGGTCAGTATAACTTTCTTTTTCAAGTTGACAGTAAATATATACTTTAAATCCTCACCCCTATTTGTGCTGTGTAAAGACTTTACAGAAACCTGGCAGAGAGACGTCACAGCAGCGTAGTGGCCATGCAGGAACCTGGCCAGACATGTCCTGTTATGTGTAGTGGCTTCTGCCATACTGGGTCAATCTTGCACTTAAGGGACCTTTGTTAGATTCTGGCTCCCTCTCCAATCCTGCTGTTTTCTTTCCATCCCTCAGGAGGCTCTGGTTCCCCTAAGAAAGGCAGGGAATGTGGTTTTGCAGTCCTGGCTGGGATCACTCTCAGGCTTGGAGAAGTGTGAGAAGCAGAGAGATCCCCAGTTATTTAGTTCAAACATTCGCTAAATGGAAGGCCTAGGATCCATTAAAATCCCTCCTCTGGTCTTGCAGATAACCATCAGCTCTGGGGTGGAGCAGGCTGTGTGGCCAGCACTGCCTTCACAGATTGCTGGAGGACCAGGGGCTTTGGCCTCTCTGAGGAAGAGCACTCTGGCTTTGGAAGAGCCCAAATCTCTGCCCTTCTCACTCCTCACATCTAGATATTCTTTAGCTGGTTTGGCATTTGCTTTTATTTTCCAGCCCAGTGCTGGTGACAGAACAGTGCCTTGGGCACAGAGCAGAAGGCTCTCTGTGTGTGGTGCTGGCCAGGGTCAGGCTGTGAGCAGCAGGATGTGCCTGCCTGGGGAATGCTGGAGAGAGGACTAAGAGAGGGTCCCTGCTCCTGTCTCAGGAGGAGATGGGCAGAGCTGAACAGAGCTTGTGATTGGAATCATTTGCTGGTGACACGGTTCTAAAGCAAATGGTGACCAGGGACAGCAGGGAAGCAGACCTGGAGCTAGTCTGCATGGAGAATGAATCTGGAGAAACTTTAACATTTGATTTATTCCATTTTACTCCCAGTAAATTAGAGTCTATCATATTAACACCACTTACATCTTTAATGAAAGCATCCACATTGGGAATGAATGTATTTTAAGTAATCTGCTTTTAATACACACCATGTATAATTTGAATTAATTTTCCTCTGCATTCCTGTGTACACAAACCCTCCAAGGCACTGTGTCTTTCTGGCACTGTGCCTCTGGGGTGATGCCTCTCATGCAGATTTCCTTATGTGGAGTATTGTCTAAGGCCAGTTATCACCCATAAGGTTTTTATATCTTCATTAACTACTACACAGATGCTGCAGTGCCCATCTAACACAGATGCATTTAGCATCACTGACAGCCTCTGGCTAAGATAATTGTCAGAACACAGAAGCTTACACTAGGCATGGATAAATCACATTTTATTTACATGAATTGCTTGTACTCTCAGCTTGCTGTGTTCATTCCATTAAAACTAACTTGTAGAAGAACTGGAAAATTCTGCCAGTGCTTGAGGTGCTGTTGTATGGCTGTGTGCAGCTACAACCTTGCTGAGGCCACTACTAACACACAACATTTGGGTTGTATCTGCTGCTGGGTTGATCCCAGAATGATGCAATGAAGTTGATCATCTTTTCTCCCTCATCCCCTCCTGGGATAAATCCATAGCCCTTCCCTGCAGGCAGATGAGGTATACCAGTGCAGAGTGCAGCTCACTGCTTGCAGAAGGCAGCAGAGCTGCTCCATGTGCCAGCCTGCAGATACCACCATGGGCTTGAATGCTTGGGAATCCACTTGCCTCTCCAAAAAGGTCAAGTAATCAGCAGGAAAACCACTGTCCAGAGACACAGTTGCACCTTCAGCAACTGCCCTTTTTCCTGACAGATTTTATTATCTCAAAAAGTACAGAAAAATCAGAAAAATCACAGTGCATTTTAATTTTTCCCCCCCCCTTTGGGTGAACTTATAGCACATCTCTTCCAAACATGTATATGTGTGTGTATATATATATATATATATATACACACACACATGTGTTTGTACTTATATATATACATATATATATATATATATCTATCTTTCAGAACCAACCACAGACTTTGAAAGCATTTAGCAATAAGTTGAATTACAGTAGCTTCTAGCACATGTGTGAGTCGTGTGAATAGCTCATTTTCCAGCTGGAGCTCAGTGTAAGTGTTCACACAGGCATTGTCTTCGCATGGGAGCTTTCATGTCTCACCCTTGCCAGTTCTGTTGTATGGGTAAAAAGGGAACCTGCTATATTTGGATGTAAATAATGAGAATTGAACAGAGAATTTTCAGAATTTTTATAAGTGTTTTTAAAAAAATTCAGCGCCAGAACTGTAAATATGCCAACCTCAGCTGGACCCGTTCTGATGTCCATCTCTCATCTGGATGAAGAGCCAAGGGGACTGACTGCCTTACAGCGCCTGCGTTCCTCCCAGCCAGCAGGGGAGAGCATTTCTCTGAATGGTTAAATACTGTCACGTACCCAACTTTCTTTGGGTCATTCACATCAGGGTTTTGTGATGCTGCTATTAATTTATTAAAGAAAGTTTGTTGGTTTAATCATTCTTCATTATTTTTTTTTTCATGATCTGTCAGAAAATAAATAAGTGAACATGCCCTCTCTTTCTTTCATCTATCCCCTGTTAAAATATGTCCTGACCATAAAACCAAACCAACAACAAAAAATGAGGATAAGGACCTGTACTTGAAGGATGGCCCACAGGTGCTTAATCACAGGAATTAGTGTCAGCAGATGTCCCAACACTCCCAACCCCAAAACTTGTTAAATGTGAAAGCAGTGATAGATTATTCTCCCTCTTCAAATTGCTCCCCTTCAGGAACAACTGTTAAAATTAACAATTTTTTAAACTATGTGAATTTGAAGAATTGATTTAGTTCTCTGAAACTTAACCAAAGTCAGTTGCTCCCACAGCTCCTTTGCTTCTCCTGAGATGTAACCATTAACTGTGGTGGTGCCTCCAGAAGCCCTGCCTGGGGCTGTCTTGTGGAAACACCTACTGGAAACTTTGTGTGAGTCCTCAAATCCCAGCTCAGGTATGATTTTGTCTTACAAATAATGTCTGTGGTACTGTTTTGCTTTCATTTGGACTGAAGAAGTGAAGATAGTTCCTTGGAAATGGTTGGAGGCTGAGATGTGCTGGCTGCTTTGTTTCCCAAACCAGATGGAGCCGTGCAGGCAGGCTGCCCATGGGACCACACACACAGGCAGAGGCTCTGCCCCAGCAAACAGACCACTCAGTTCCTTGGACTGGAACTGGGCAATCTGCTCTGGGGGCAGATTGGGCCCAGCTCAGAGCTGGCATCTTCCTGAGCTGTAGGGGCTTGCAGTCTTCCCTGCCCAGGGTCAGAAACAAGGCTGACCATGGTGTTCAGGCACAAATCCCTGTAACTGAGCAGCCTCGTTTCTAGACCTGAGCTGCTCATCTGCATCTGTTCCATGCTGCCCCACACAGCCAGCTCTGGGGAAGATCCATGGGATCAGCTGTGGTGGCTTTGGGGACCCGTGTATGCCTCACAGAGTGTGCTTTGAGGAGAAGGTGAGCTCCTCCTGTCCTGTGCTTGCTGAAGATAAGAGCAACTACCCAAAGGCTGTGGCATTTGGGAGGTGACAAGGTTCAGAGCCAATGCTGAGGAGTCCTAAGGCATCCCATCTCAGCACAGCTCTTTATTGTCTGAAGAACTGTGAGTCTTCAATAGTTTTCATCTGAGTGATAATTTAGAGATGTAAATGTGAGGCAATGTGTGAGTGAGCACTGTGAACAGTGTGGTTCTTGCTGTTTTCTCTGCAGAAACACTCATGTCAATCCTTAGAGACTTTCTTCTGAAGAGTTTCATCAGTGGCGTCGTGGGTGCCTGGTACTCTTCCCAGTTGCCATCTAAGGTGTTGGAGCCATGAGGGCCCTGGAGAGACGCAAATCCAAAGAAGAAACATATTTTTTGAGGAAGAGAAGCAAACCACAATCAGCCCTTCAGAAACACCATTTCACTTTGAGCTGCTGAAGGGTGTGTGATGCTGTGGCAGACAAATTGTGCATTCCAAAAGCAGAGCCCATCATGTGACAAAGGAGCAGATGTCTCTTGGATGGCTTTCCTCCCTGTGTCACAGTATCATTAGGATAGCTACATGCCAGCAACTGCACTTGGCTTTGTCTCCATTTCAGGGGCGGAAAGCTTTTTCCTAGGAAAAGACACTCAAAAGAGCACCAAGCTTTGTGCAGGTGAAGCAGAAGGACAGAGCTAGACAGATGTGTGCACACATCCCAGAGACCCCAGAGAGCCACAGATGTCATCACACTTTATTCTTCCCTTGGAGAAAAAATGGGAGTATCTGAAAAGCTGGGGAGGAAACCTGTGATGGGGAGATCAAATATACCTGCTGGTGTGATTGTCAGGTGGGGGCTGTTCCAGTGATAATGTAGTTTGTGGGGGTCCATGTACCCAAAAAATGCCTCTTTTTTTTTTCATTTTTAACTATGAAATTGTTATTATCTCTTTTGTCTCTCCCCTGTTTTTCTCTAAGTCTCAGGTCTTCTGCTTGTTTGCTTTCACACACACTGAAATCTGTGCTCTGAAGCTGTCAGAAAACATCCATGGGATGTGCCATTCCCTCTCAGCTGTGCAGGGATGCTGCAACCCCACAACAACATGGAGATGGAGAGGCTTCAGGTGAGGGATTTTAGATCTATACACTACAGACAACCAATGCAACGAGGCACACTTACTGATTAAAAACCACACCAGAATGCCTTTAATGAAGTCAAGTACATGAGCTACACACTGAAAAAATTTGCTTAAGACTGTCCTAAATGCCAGGTTTTGCTGACAGCAGGAGGGTGTATGGGTACATGTGGAGG